CGACATTCAATTTTAATGTATTTAAAAAATCCAACAATTAAAATAATTTACATAGATTAAACTAAGTATTTATTTAAATAGCACGGCTGTATAACTAAATAATAATAGATTTAAGAAAATATTTAAAATTTTGAAATATTTTGCGTTCTAAAAAATTTACTAAATCAGTTTATATATTCATTTTTAATTTGTTCTAAGATATATTTTGTACAAATGAAATATATTTTCTGTATTGAAATTTGACATAACCGTATATATTAGGTGGATTTCTTTCGAGTAAATTAACTTTCAATATTCTTATGCATAAAATGGAATTATTTTTTAATTCTTATTATAAATGCTACCATAATTATACATTCATTAGTAGTAATACAACAGAATTTATACTTATTATTAAAATTTTCTGACTTTCAAATTTTCTGTCAATATTCATATAGTCGAATTATAATTTTATGAAATCTTATTAATCTTTGATATTTATAAAATAATTTATAATTAAAAATAACCAATGATAATCTATTTTATGTCATAGAATCAAATATGGATATAATTAGTAAGATTTGAAAGAGAAAAATAAATCTATTTGAGTATATTACAATCATTTAGTAATTGTAAGTATTGTATCGTTACTTATATCATTATTAAAAGTTTTACACTTTGTCAATTCTAAATATGCCTATTCATCGGTTAAAAACATAAGATATAATTCTTAAAATGAACGTATTACGAAAAATATTTACAATAAAACATAATGGACTAAATTATAAAAATAATAAAGCAATTTTTATCTGCATAAAAATTGTTAATTAAATTGATAAAACTTTCTAATATTAATCCAAAACTAAATTAAAACTCAATGAATTATTCATTTTTAAATATTTTGTTTATCATATACAATGTTATAAACGGAAAATTGAAAATGTCGAAATATTATAAAGTATATTTAAGAATAAATTGTGAAAATACTAAGATATATAGTATTATGATAAATAGTTTAAAAAAATATTAATACTTAATAAGCGATTGTTGAAGCGTGATTTTTTTATATTATATAATTGCATAATATCCGTACGAAAAAATTCTTTGTTAATATTTTTTTACTAGTAGAGAAATAGTGCTGTTTAGTAGTAATTTTTAGATGTAATAGTATTTAAAATTCAGACCATTCTGTACTGATAATCGTTATTGTAATGTTGTATATGTAAGATAATGAATAACATTATTATTAATTTTTAATAATACATTATAATTTTCTCCAATTATTGTTGTTCAGAATTAAATTGTGTATTGGATACATTCGATTATTAAACATTAGCAGAGAATATTAGGTATAACTTTCGACATGGTTAATTTATATTTTATATGAATATGAAGAAACTATTGTCTCTTTTGTTTATGTATGACACTTATTTTGGGTGCTTATTTATCTTTAAAATTATAAATGCAATTAAACAAATAGTGGACTAAATTATTTGACGAAAATGTTAAAAATATTTTTAATTTCAAGCAAATAGACAATTATACAGATAAGTACTACTTTTGATAATAGAGGTTTTTCTTTTATTTTTATTGAAAGCTTTGTTTCATACTTATCAAATAATAATGATAAGAAATTAATAATTGTTCAAATATAGACGCTTTGTATAAAATAAAAAATCGATATAAAAAGAAGATGCTACTTATATTAAAAAATATTGTGATATAATGTAGAGTAATTACTTTCTTTAAACGTTATTGTTGTTTATCTACGTTATGTAGTAAAAGAAAAGAAATAAAATATTAAAAACCATTACCCATTATACTGTATATATATATATATATATATATATATATATATATATATATATATACACATACATATATAGATGAATATTGAAGAAGAAACTTAACTTTGAATCTTAATATATGGGAAGAGAAAGCGTAATAAATATAATAATCTAAGTTATAATACAACTTTAATGTTATCTTTAGTTACTATCATTATGTGATGCGAATATTTAGTTAAATTAATTAAACCAAATGAAAATAAATAATATTGCTTCTATATCTTTATCATAATATTCAAATACCTTGCAGAAATGAAATTATAGTAAATAGAGTTAACATATATAAGAAATGTAAGCTAATATATGGAATAGTAAAAATTAATATTATTTCCACTTTATTTTTAAAAACATTTTATTATTTTATATTTTTTATACAAGATTCGGTATTAGTTTATTTCTGAGAAAAGGAGCGTTATTATATAAAATATTTTAATTGTAGAATTTTTAAAGCAGTTGTAAATAAAAGAAAATTACAATATAATTTTGATCTTTAGATATCCTACTTAGCATAATACAAATGCTAGTGCAAATGTCATAAATAACATAAGGTAAGTAAACGGAAAATTCAACAACAACCGATGACTATTATTTTACAGAAATACTAACTAACATTGCAAATATTTGCAATTCAAATGAAGATAATTAATTTAGAATCATATGAAGCTTTTAAGTAAAATTTGCTGTTAATTAAGTATTAAAGCAGGCAGTCTAATATTAGAATAATATAAATCTCGTCCATATCAAATATTTATTTTTATGTGTTAATTTGAAATCGTTAATGTACAAATTATAACAAATTCTGAATGTGATAGAAGGATAGAGAAACTTGCAGGAACACCAGTCGAAATCGATATGCATATGGTGTGTACCATTGGAAGGCCTTTCGTATTGTTGGGTAACGTAAGTATTGACACGTGAGATGTTTTTTTGACTGTTCATTCGCCATTTTCACATTCTTCATGCACCATGAAATAATCGCGTATTATAGGCACTTTTAGGCATAGGATTATTTGTTTAATACGTTACAATTGCGAACTATGAAGATTCTAAAGGATTTATTATACAAATGATTCATCTACTTAATAAATAATATTTTACTCATACAAATAATTATAAAGTGTTATTTAATTAAATTTCATATTTTTTTAAATGAAACTTATATAAAAATATAAAATGATTCTTCAAACTAAATCTCTATTACTATTAAATTATTAAATTTATTATAAAAATAATTATAAGTATGTTTAAGTGACATTCTATAATAATAAAAAAATGTAGGTCTACTTTTACTTTAATAATTAGTTTCATTACGTTGATAAAAATAGAAAAACAATTATTTTTATACATTGTATCATTAATAATAAATATAATAAATATGTGTATAAGTATAAATATGAAAGTATCATTATTATAATGAAATTATAGTGGAATTAGTTGCCAATTTCTGTGATATTTGACTACAATATTAATAATAGAAAAAATATTTGTCAAACTGCTATATAAATTTATGGACTACATTATATATCCAATTTAGTGTTATATAATAATAATTCGAGAAATTTTATATAATAATGTTACTGATTTATTTCATCAGTTATATTTCATATTCATTTAGCATTAATTGTTATCTTATCACAAAATATTTACGTAGCAATTAAAAATTATTAAGTATATGATTATATCTTAATCGATACTACGTATTATTAAACAAAGTATTATTAGAATATTATTGTAAGTATTATTGAATAAACACCTGTAGCCATTGAATTATTTGAAATAGAATTAATTAACAGTATGAACATGCAGCTATAGATGAATTCAATAAAAAGTTAATATTTAATAACATTTGATAGATAACATTGTCAACTAATCAGTCGTGTGTTAAACCAATGGATTATGAGAGTAAATGAGTTGTTTATTATTTTTGATAATTCAACAATAATGAATTGCACACAATCAGTAGACATGTGACGTCTATTCACAAAATTGTATGATTTTCATATGCATTTTCATTAAAAAAATCATCACTATAGAATTGTCTAGTGTATAATAATATTTCATATATATATATATATATATATATATATATATATATATATATATTATATATACATTTATAATAAATATAAACGTTTTAAATATCTTTTAATAGATTATATATAAAAAAAAACTTTCGAAACTTTAAAAATAATAAATATTTTTAATTTATTACCTATTTATAGTACCTGTTTAAATTCTCTACTTTTTTATACTTAACTTTACCATTTCAATGCTTATCACTTTTACGAAATGTATTATTAATTAAAATTGTCAAAATAATTGGTTACAACAATTATAATACAAGCTTTCAATAAAAGTAATATTTTAATAGATTATTTTTTACGTATTCTTATATATTAATGAATTACATTAATGATATTACACTAATTTTTATATTTGTTTAATTGATTATTGACGTGATTATAAATTTTTTCAATTTTGTTACATTATTGTATTATATAAATTATATAATAATTATATAATAATTAAATGAAGCATTCAATTTTTTCAACTCTTTGAATAAATTATCTATCAAAAGATTCTCTATTTTAATAACTAAAATTAAATTCTTACAATAATATTTAAGTTTAAAATCAAGCATAAAACATGTTTACTATAAAATATAATGAAATACGCGTATAATAATTGTTTTATTACAGAAACATTTTATTCCAATTTAAGGTAATATTGTTTTACTTTTGTATTTTATTAATAAAATACTTTACTAAATTAATGCCGAATAATAAATATCCTATAATGTAGTAAATAAGTAAGAAATATTATAGTTAAATAATACTCGACATTTCAGAATCAATGTTCCAAAACAACATCATTTATATACATATGCAAGTCATATAAAATCAAAATTTAGTCACGCAATCATTTGTTTAATAGCTATTGGAAATATTGAATTATTAAAATATAAAAATTTACTTAATATGTCTTAGCTAAACTTAAATAAATCATTTTAACATTTATTATATTTTAGCATGCAGTTCAATAGAGATTTAATTTTTATTCAATGGGTAATATTTTGTAAGTAACATATAAAATTTGTATTTCTTTTAAAAAAAGGTCTATAAAATATTGATAAATTTATAAAAATTTAAACAACTTAACATACTTAGGCAGCTTATACGACTCTGCAACAGCAAAAGCTCTTGTTGGGCAAAATGTAAGGAATGCATTAGCGGAGGAATTCCCTTTTGCCGCATGTTTTACGGAGCGTTTGCCTCAAAATCAGCTGGTGCCAATTAAAATTATGTGTACTGGTGCGCTCTTGACAAAACGTCATGTCTTAACTGCTGCACATTGTACTGAATATAAACCAAAGAACGAAGTACAAATAATAATAGGATCGATACATTTACTACAAGGTACAATATATTATCCTTCGTGGTGGATCACCTTTAATCAGTGGAGTGAACACAGACGAAAACATCTTCAATTTCGCGTTAATGATATAGCAGTTACAAAAGTAAGATACCTATATTTATATGTATACTATTTATTATATAATAGTATCAGCATTTAAATAGATAACAAATTAATGACAAATACTATTATTGTGTAAATAGAGCAATACTATTATTATTATTATTATTATTATTATTATTATTATTATTTAAATTTCTAAATTCGGAAGTATTTAGATTCAAGAATAAAATGAAATATTTTGTTTTAGTTAACTTCAGATGTGCCTGATACAATCATTCCTGCCACTATTTCCGCTCTATCAAACGACGATTTATATGGTCACGAGGTTGTGGTAATAGGATGGGGAATTTCAAATAATCATGTTGCATCCATGACATTGCAAACAGTTAATTTAAGAGTCTTATCGATTAATGATTGTAAGAGTAAACTTCGAAGACTAACTGGCGAGAGAATTGGTTTTCAAGGTAGAAATTTATGCACAGCAGCAGATCCATACGCACTAATACAACATGTAAGTAATTATCAATTTAAAATAAGATCACAATCTCTCTTAGTTTTCATAATTTTTTTAAAAATTAGTGAAATAAAAAATATTTTAAAACAAATGAAAATATTTATATTCGTTTAATTAAATTAATAAACAGTGTTAATCGAACATTAAGTATAATATATCTTTATGATACTTTCGTTCTGTATATACAAATATAGTCGCATACAATGAATCGTCCTAAGTCGATGAGAAGACACAACAGGTTGTTTAGATGTGAGAGAAAAGAATGAGGAACTATGAGAGAGAATAAGTAAATCATGCAGGGGCGGGGGGAGGGGGGCTATATAGCAACATTAGTTTGCATTTACTTTATGAGGAACAATAAATTGAAATACGTTTAATGTTTGGGAAATAGTGGGAGATATTAGACTTACAATAATTAATCCATATTTTTTGAGAACGACAACATGAAATTTTTCGTTCGAATGATAAGCACGACAGTGGATCGTTAATTTCCAAGTTAACCGACAGGTTTACTCTCGGTAATTATAAGTAGCAATTAAAATTGAAATGACAATACTTAACCTTTTTTCTGCATTACTCAAAATATCGTAGGAAAGTTTGAGTTAATTAACGCAAGAGTCACATAAAGATTTAGAAATTAAAAATTTGACTAATTTAATATTTATCGCTTATCGTACATATTATTTTATTTTTTTAAAGAATTCAAATAATCTTTTCAAATGTTATTAGCTGTATAGAGATTCGTGAGATATTAAATAAAAATAATCAAAATTTAATCCTTACAATCAAAATGAATCCATACTTGTTTTATGTAACTTACAAAATCTTAATACCCAGTGTAGTTTAATTTAAAAAAAAAAAAAAGTGTCTGTTAAGCTTTAATTTTTTGTTAAGATGATCTCTTCTCTAAAATCCTTATAATACGAATAATGAAAAATCGAATAAAAATATTTTATTTGATTTCTAAATTTTTTAATTATCATTGTATTATTTATTTGTTTTAAAGGTTGATAAAATAAAATTAGAGAAATTAAAATCCAGTACAAAAAAAAACCTTTTATATCAAATTCCAAAATAGGATAATTAGCATAAAAAGTAAAACTAAAAGAATTAACAATTATTATCATACTTAATATTATTAAAAATATTGTTGTATTTTTTATTGGATCCTATATGCAATAGAATATGTAATATATATCTAGACAGTTAAATAATAGTTTAAAAGCAATTTGAATTTATTTTTTATCGATTTATTTATGAAAATGTTGCGTATACAAAACTGATTGTTCAATATATTATAGAGAGATTGATTTTTATACTTATATATAATTATGAAAATTTTTTATAGGGTGACAGTGGCGGCCCACTTTTATATGCAAATACGATTGTAGGTGTGAATAAAGCAACGATTCCATTTCCTGATCAACCTTTCCATCCAGAAAAATTGAATGTTCATACTGGAATAGATTTCTATAGACAGTTTATTTTATATGTCATAAACGATTACTTTATATGGTTTTAAATTATTATCTATGAAAAAATAAATTTCTATATAATTTTTTATTTCTAATTAATTATATGCAACTAAATTAGCTCATTAAACTAAATACAAAATTTCCAATTATCAGACTTAGAAGAGAGAAGACTTTAAAATTTATGATTGTTCCATTATTATATATTATTTATTTATATTCAATTAAATTTTTACAATAAATAAAAATCTTCTAATAAATATAATTATCGGCAATTAATTATGACCTTTTATTAATCAAATTTATTTATTATGTATTTATAGATTAATCATTATATATATTGATAATTATTAAGGTTTAATTTTTAAAATTCTCAATATTCATAATAATAGATTTTATAAATCAAGTTTTAATGTAATTTAATCGAATGTGGCCTTTTTGATATAATATATTAATACTGTAAATTAGATTGTGCTATTCACGAAGGTAATCTATAATGTATGATCTATAATCTATAATCTATAATACATTATGAAATAATGTATTGTTATGTTAATAATGCAAATTGTTATCTCAATAAATCAATATGTGTAATTACAATTAGGTTATCAAAGATTTGTTGTTAATGTTAAGGATTTGGTATTTTAAATTTAGATATAATATACAATCAACCCTTGCATATTCTTTAAGCAAAAATCATTTAAATCAAATATTTATTATAGATTATGTATATTATTTATAAATAATAAAAGAGAGTTATAAAATATATTTATTTAATGATAGATTGATAAGACTTTTTGTCAATTATAATATAATGACTTAAGTATTTATAATAAACATGTGAAGTATTTTGTGCTATAAATATATTAAAAATTAAGCGATATTTTTGTAATATATTATTGAAAAAAAAAAAAAAAAAATACTATGAAATTATTTTTTTGCAATTATATTCTTTCAGTTTTATCAAGACCATTGGAAGTTATATAATTTAATTGTGTCAAAATTTAAAATATAGAAATTTTTACAATTTGATCATAAAATATAGACTTATTATAATTTAAATCGATTGCAAAATTATAAGAAATTATTATTTATATCATTTAAAAATCTAGATAAGAAAATAATTTTGTATAATTATTTATCACACTTTTTAATTTAAAGCAATTAAAATAATAGTAGAGTGAATTATTCTTATAATTTATTATTTTATGCAGCTGTACAGTTTATACAGTTATTATATTATCAACTATTTTATACGGATTTTATAGGGATAATAGAATATGACCAAGAAAGTTATTACGGAAAAACGATAATGTAATTTTTAACCATTTTTCAAAATGTCTAAACAAAATGAATAATGGAATAATAATATCCGTAATATAAAACTCATATACAGTAAGAACTAGTTTTTTATGGTATATAATCATATGTTATGGTCTGTTATGGTCTCCATACGTAAAATTTATAACATAAAACGAATTATTCATATTATGTAATAGCATATGTCAAAATGTATGTTGACATTTACCTTGTTTGATATTCGGGGATTTTCTTATTTCTTTAACCATTTTATTAGGTTCCGAATTAGGTCTTCAATTTATAAATCTAAACCATTTAATCCATTGAGATAGATATCAATTACATTAATCTCATTATTTCATATTTCATCGGAATTATCTGTTAAATTTTTATCAATAATAAAGTGCTTGAAAAATAAAACTTGGACATAATATAAAGAATTATAATTCAGTTTTATAATTTAAGAATTTCTTTGATTTACTCTATTTATTTTATTAATTATTAATTATTCTGTCAGTTACGTCAGACCATTTACATAACTATTTTGTAGACTCAAAATATATTGCAGATATAAATTTAATGATAAGTTAATCTGATCGTGCAGTATGAATATAATTTGAATTTTATGATTTTTAAGTCATATTACTACTTTACATTCTCAAATAATTTAAATAAAATTAAGTTTCTTTTAATTATCGTACATGTCCTATATGATATATTAGTAACATTATTTATTATTGTTTCCTTTGGCGATCAATTATACTTCTAAATGAAGTTTAGAATTCATTTGCTTCTTAGTTATTGGATAATTTTTCGTAAGTAAGACAAAATAATTTCGTAATTTCAGTCAAATTAATTTGAATTGTTATTCGTTAGATAAAAATTATGACATTGCCGTTGCGAATCCTCTGTTTGGACGAAATGTTAGACAAATCAGATACGGAGAATTTCAATATGTTGCGTCGCTAATGCATCGCATATCTCAATATCGTATTGGTTGGAATACTTATCATATTTGTACAGTGGCGCTTATAACAAGAAGACACATTTTAACAGCTGCACATTGCTTTGACAATGTATCTCCAAATTCAACTCAAATAGTTATTGGAGCTCCTTATTTAACACATGGTAGAGTGTATTACCCTTTGTGGTTCATTACATACAGTATATGGTCGGGCAGAAATGTATTGCACGAAGCTCGAATTAATGACGTTGGTGTATCAAAGGTAAATTATTCTAATACGAAATATAAGTTTTCTATATTGTGCTTTATATATTATATAGTATTCGTGAATTTATACGACATTTTATGTAGTAGTAAGCCGTTCGCTTAAGCAAATATAAATCTATTTTTTTTTTTAAAGAAATTTTTAAAGAGAATGTTGAGAATAAAAAATTTTGAGAAATGAAATAAAAATTGCCTTAGCTAACGGCGTTGGTGGACGATAGTATTGAGCCAGTGCCTATTTCAACATTAACGAATGATGAATTATATGAATTAGAAGTAGATGTGGCAGGATGGGGATTGTTTGAAAGTAATCGCGGCTCTCTTGTTATGCGTACTGCCAAGTTAAATGTCATGACGAATGAACTATGCCAAAGAAAAATTCGGAGGCTTACTAGATCGAGATTTCAATTACATCCAAGGCTACTGTGTACTGCGGCACGACCATATATATTATTGGGATCAGTAAGTGTTTATAATTTCAGTAAAAATTTTGTTTACGTTTGATAAATTGATAAAATTTAATCATTTTTTTTTTAACATTTTTGTATCATTTAACTTTTATAACCACCTGACTTTGGTTATATATAAGTAAAATAATCGAAATATAGAAAACTAATTTCTTCATGAATGAAAGTTTTGTGAGTTTCAAAAGACAACTATGACAGCTTGAGGATGTTAAATAAATCGAAATAGTGTTTCGAAGCTTTCTTGATTGATGAATTGCACAGGGTTTTAACAATGGAAATGAGTCTACAATAAAAAAAAAATGACAGATTTTGAATCCACAATAATACTATAATTGGCGTTAATTTTATTATAAATTGGTTAAGTCTCCATAACGAAATCTAACTTATATTATTGATGCTACGATTTCTTTTTCCCCGACAGAATTAAATACGTGTTCTTAAAAAAAAATAAATATATATTATATGTTGGATTCAAATATCTTTACCGTTCTCATTAGTACGTTTCATATATAATTAGTATTAAACAAATATAAAAATATAATTCACATATATTTGTGAACAAATATTTGTTACACGTATTGGGAAATTTCATAAAATATTTTTGTATTCAACATGAAAAGATAATTTGTAACAATTTCGTATTAATATTAAGTTTATTTGAAGCAATATATTTATGTCAATTTGAGACCTGTTAAAGAAAATAATTTTACAAATGATCTCTCACAATGAATACATTACTTTTGCGGTCATAGTTGGTTAGCGTCTCGTAGTTCATAGAAAACATTGAGATTGAGTTTCGGAGTTACAAAATTTGGTCATTGGTTATATTTAATTTAAATTTAATTCGGTGCGATAAAACTAAAATTCTGCGAATTATTATGTTAAACAAACAATTGCCAACTAAATGAAATATACATACATACCGTTCGTTGCAATATAAACTTAAATTAATTATACTGTTTAGTTTTAAACAAAAACAAAAACTCTAAACATTAATCGATGAGCATTTACTTTCAGATATTAAGAGTAGTAAAATAAAATTGCAAATAGCTTTACCGATGTAATGTAAAAGTAACTCATAAATATCATATCGATATGTAGATTGATAAAGACAATTGAATCATTTGATTATTATAAGTTCTATAACAACACCAACACCACAACAATAATAGTAATAATAGTAATAATAGTAATAATGGTAATAATAATATTGGACAGATTTGAAAAATCTTTTATTTATGCAATAGTGAGCGAATGGATCCGTTATTTTTTCTCTCGCGTAATGCAGTGTTATTGTTGTATGGCAATGTTCTTGCAATATTGTTAGATTATTAGATTATATATTGCGATCGCATATTTAATACTAATGATAAAACTAACTAAATAGTTTTGTTAAGTATTTTCAGAACACTATCGACATACGGGAAATTAAACTTAGCATTATAAGCAACAAATACAGAGAGCTTGAGCATATATAGATAAAAGTAGGAAGATCCCACGTGATTAGATATTGAACATGTGAACTTTGTTGTTCGATAGGTACTCTTACGCAAGAGCTTAGCCCTTTGCAAATTCAGAACTTGTTCGTATTATTTACATGTTTCAACTTGCATAAACGTGCGGTAAGCGATTTTGAAGATTTTGAATACAAATTAATATTTTACTTAACATAAAAAAAAAAAAAAAAATTTGATGATGTTGATTATTAAAAATAATGATGATTGAATTGAATTGATGAATAAATAATGACGAAGGCCTTCAATTTATCACAATTTATCACAATTTATCGATTTTTACGTTCTTTATGATTTAAAATTATATTAATAATATTTTTTTATTATTTTGTTTTATTGAAACCTATTATTTTTATTCTTACGTATAATTGATGTACCTCGCGTAATACATAAATATTTAGCGATTCGGTTTTTAATAAAAGCTTTAATCTAAAATAAATCGAATTCATTCGACGTTATTATTGTTATTTATTTATTTATTTATTTATTTAAATTGTCTATAAAAAATGTTATGCTTGGACATTGAATTTTCAAAACGCTTCTTTTTAGGGTGACAGTGGCGGGCCACTCATATACTCCAATATGATCGTTGGTATTAACAAAGCAACAATGCCAACACATCACCTGATACTTGATTCGCAAAAAGTTAACCTTCATGTTGGTATTCATTATTTTCTAGAGTTTATTTTCGAAACTGTACAGGATAGTTTCCAATGGTCATAAATTTTGTGAATGATATCAAAATTTATATTATTTCAATAAAACACTTTTGAATAAAATTTTTATTTTATTATTATACTTAATAAATTACTATTTCAATAAAATAAAATTCAAAGTCTTGTATTTGATAAATTATTTTCTATAGATAGTTTTATAATAAAAATTTAATTTATTCTTATATAATATATAATTCTGTGAACTTTATTTTCTTATATTAATCTTAAAATGAAGAAAATAGGCTAACTTCTTTTAATCATTTTCATTATTTTTACTCAATTATATACAATTTATTTGTAAGCAATACACATAGTATTATTTTTACTCAATTATATACAATTTATTTGTAAGCAATGCATATAGTATAAAACGTGAGTGTACAATGATAATTGATGCTATTGTTAGGATCAAGTATTTTCGAAGGCATAAGCGTTTAAATACATAAACATTATTTGTAGTAAAATTATATTACTATGCTAATATATTAGAATTTTGTATACTAAATTCTTTGTAATGTTAAGTTGTCCTTGTTAATTTCGTGTAATTTCGTGTGGTTTGAACATGTTAACAACGAAATATGCACCTCAAAGCAAATGAATTTGAAAAGGCATCAAGGGCTGACGTAAAATCGATCCTTATTATGTCGATGTGAAGCTTAGATTTTCATATCTCAATCTTATAGAATATTTTCTTGACATTTAAATAATTAATCTCTAATGTATGCAGCTACGTGTCCTTTTGTATTGCATAAGCATTAATTGTAAAGTATCTCTTTGCAGTTACAACAGGATTAACCAATTGCTTTTATGTAAGGAAGACTATCTTGTTCAATGGTTGTCGGAGCCATGAGAAAAATTTGAATTTAATTGTCTAAGCTTTAGCAAGAAAGGATAATACAAATTTCGAAACAAAAAACGGCGCTATAAATTTTTTCAAGTAAATATTTTTGTGCGAATTGCAAGAAATTTACCAATAGCTAGCTGGGTATTTCTAAAATCATCTGTCATTGAGAATTTTGTCTACCTTGTTTGTGAGAATCTGTCGATGAATTGTGTTGTTGCATTATCGTTTTCACAAATTTTTTTCGATTATGCGTGAATAAAAGCCATAAAGAGATAATAAATCCATGTAAATGAAAGGTTTCCAAAACTTAAATCTGATACTACAATATAGCGACCGAACAATTTTCATTGTAAATGTAGTCTAACTAAATTGCTTATATCATTAGCAGCGTATAGTTATTTATCACTTTTTTGTGCTTATAATAATCATAAATACAAGTTTACTTATCTGGCTGATGTAAACATATGCAATGAGACTAATAATTCTTCACGCCATATTGTTTTTCAATTTGAATTCACGATAAACAAGCTAACTACGAACTATTTCACATCCGTATTATTATATATTTATTCGATTATCTAAATTGTTCGATTATACAAGTTGTTTTTTAATTTAATAAATCCAATATGCACTTTACATATACGATGTAGCACAACGATAATATCGACAATATCATTAATATATGAAATAATTAAGATTAACTATTTTTTAAAACTATGGATGATTTTAGGCGACATTTTTACAATAGTTAATATATATTTTCAATATATATATATATATATATATATATATATATATATATATATATATATGTTGAAAAGTAAAGAAATATGAATTTTCTTTTAATCTATTCTATATAGTAATATTTTTATGTTTATAAAATAGCATTTTTACCATTTTCTTCAATCATTCACTAAAATATTCGAAAATTAGATATATTGAATGTAGTAAAGTCTGTCTGGATTAATCGGAAATAGTAATAAATTAAAAAAAAAGTAGATGTAAAAAGAAAAAAAAAATTTCATTCAACATACAATTTATCCACCAATATTCAATTATGTGATCTATTAAATTTTAAATGTTATGAGACAAATACTATCACAATAAAATAAGATAGTATTAACTTTAATAGAAAGCTGTGTTAAACATTTTCTCATTTCAATTTAATTTTATTACAAAGGTTTAATACACAAAGTTTATTCAAAATTATAATTTAATACATGATTAGTTTTAATTCTAGTTTATACGCAAAGTAAATTGAATTTGATTCAGTCATTCAACTAATTTTCTCTTACAGAATGTATTATAAACAATAAATATGAAACCAGTGAATAAATATATATTAGAGTCTATAATATTGTGAAATTTTATAATATCATTTTATCAATTGTTTTATAAGAGGTCTGCGACATTTTCAGAAAAACAAAAGTATCGCAATTATCAAATAATATAATAAATAATTTAATATATAATAATTAGGTAGAAGAATAAAATATTACCCATAAATTGAGACCTGATTTTGCCACGAGCTAATATATAAATAAAAATATTTTAAAATACATTTATAAAGAGTTTTAATTTTGATAATGAATGATATGATAATTAAGACAATTCAAGGTATTAATTTCATTTGAAAATTTATTATTTATTAGTAGTATTTTACAGAGTAAACATAATAAGAAAAAGTCAATATGTTATGATTCAATTGGATTTCAAAACTGGTAGTTTTTTTTTTTTTTTTTTTTTTATTAAGCTTCTAAAATTAAATTTATTGCTTTACTAATATATACTTTAATTAAGTCGTAAACGTAATATAATTAATATCGCCAAGATAAGCATACTACTACCTTAATTGTAGAAGATAATTTTCTCAAATGATTAAATGAAAATTTAAATTAAATTTGTATGGTAAATTTTAGAGCACAATTTAAAAAGAAAAACATTTTTATACTTTAATACTATAATAAGAAAAATATGTAGTGCATAAATCAAAGCAAAAATAAAATATTTTTATAAATGACGTAATTGATATTTATTTATATTCAAATATACATTGATATTAAAATCTTATCTATTTGAAAATAAGTTTGGATATAATATTTTTAAAAAAGCAGGAGCAACTTTATAATTCATAATATGTAATATCAGTCAATAGTCATAACTTCAGCAAATTTATCGTTCGATGAGCTATTAACTTGTCATTTAATTCTATTACGATTTAAATAATTGAAACAATTAACTAATGAATGAATGAATTAATTAATATATTTTTTTATATATATATAAATTCTTATAAACGAATAATTAATATGGCTTCTTGTGTATAATTGAAAATTCTTGTAAATACTTCTTTACTGTGAATAATTATTTTAATTTTTGTTGTCAAAAGCTCGTAATATTCATTCAGTGAGGTTCTATATAATTAAATATATATATATATATATACATAAAAAATGAATAAAATCCTGCAATTATACATAGTTACTTTATCAAAGTATTTGAAGTAAATATTATTTGGTTTTAAATATACTGCAATATATTTAACTTCAAATAAATATTAATTAATAATTGCTTTAATTAAAATATTATAGAATTTCTTAAGAAACTTGAAAGATATTTAATAAATCAAATATCATGAATAACATATTTTAATATTTTCTTGAAACATGGTCAGTATTTATAAATATATATCGATCTTTCTAAATGTAATAATTTCATGTTTAATATTTTTAGATAAGTTTCCTTCAATTCTATATTCTACATTCCATATTCTATATATAATAATTCAATATGGAAAGCAAGTTTATCCTATTTACCTGTATATGTACAATATTTTGTAAGTATCAATTTTTATCACTTAAATTTATATTATTAATTTATGATAATTTGAAACTTTTGACAGTAGACACATAAATTTTATTTTCACTAATGTTTTATATTTCAGGCATCCAATGTAAAATTACAGCAGTTAATGCCATGGTCGGACTAAATGTTAGACCGGTAGAACCAAGAGAATTTTCATATGTCGTGTCGCTTGTTCAACGATATCCAGAATCTTTTATATCTACGCATAATTACATTTGTACTGCAGCGCTCATTACAAGAAGCCATGTATTAAGTGCGGCACATTGTATCGCAAATAGATTGAAGAGTCAATCTGCAATTCTCATAGGATCGACTAGATTGAGTCACTGCAGAGTCTATGGCATATTATGGTGGATAGATTATAATACCTGGGGTGCATATAGTCGAATATATGTTCGATTTGAGTCGAATGATATTTGTATTATAAAAGTAAATTAATCTTTAAAAGTATTTTATACAAATAGAAAATTGCTTATCAAGCAGCTGATTAATTTGTTTTATTTAACACTACTGAGAAATATTTAAAACTAACCACAGATAAACCAGACCAAACTAACCACTCAATCAAATCTAAAATTATAATTATGTATTTATAACAATTAAATTAATTTTCAGCTCGATCGTGAAACAGACAATGATATTGTACCAGGGGTTCTTTCACCCTTACACAATCAGGATCTCTTTGGACAAAATGGTATAATAGCGGGATGGGGAAGAACCAATAACGGAGAAATACCTAATAATATGTTAAAAGCTACTTTAAAATTCTTAACGTTGGATGAATGTATAGGAAAGATAGAAATAATAGAGGGACGCAGAGTTCCTATCCATAATAGACATTTGTGTACTGATGCATTTCCCTTTATATTACTACACGAAGTAAGTGTTCATAAACGTTATGTATACAAATAAACTTTAATCAATAATGAGCTTTATGATTACATACTTTAATTTCTGTATATTTCGATCAACTATATTTTTTATTTGATTTTATTGGGTATAGTATATTCGCGAAATTAATTATTTACGAAATTTCGAAAAATGTAATCAAATATGTATAAAACAAATCTCTTAATAATCGAATGTGTAATGTAAAAGTTGAATTTTGAAAATTAAATGTTTAAATTATTGAAAAAGATTTTAATTTAGACGAGCTAAATACTTAAATTCGTGAATAAGAATTATTCTTTCAAAAATTAAATATTTTATAAATTAATTAGGATTTAATACAGTTATTTTACAACAACCTCCTTATTCTATTTTTTAGGGGGACAGTGGTGGACCAGTTGTGTTTAATAATATGATTGTTGGTGTAAATATAGCAACCTGTCCATTACCACATATACTAATACATCCGGGAAAAGTCAACCTTCATTTAGGTATTGACTATTACAGAACTTTTATTGCAGCCGTTACATCAAATAATTTTACGTGGCAATGAATGGTTATTACAATAAACAATTAGTGCATACTGTTCAAGTTAATATATATATATATATAACAGCATTTCATGATTAGTTTAAAGATTTATATAGGAATGTATATGCCATTAATTATAAAACATTAATTCAATCAATTCAAGGTAACAATTTTGTGCAGTCTTAAGTAATAATACATTAAATAATGTGTTACATTGAGTAATTAAATAAACATCTATATAGACATTATTCGAAATAAAATTAAGATAGAAAAATAGTTTTCAGTGAGTTGAAAATAAAATGCAGTCAATATCGTGTTCTGAAGAGAAAAAATATATTGAAAGACAAAAAAATTTCTTTGAATAATCTATTGAAAATGTTTATTATGCATGTTAATTTTTTATGGTATAGATAAAAAATATAAATTATAACATCATTACGCAATATTCGAAGAAAAAACAAATTTTGCTAATTGATAAAAGAATAAATCTCTTATATTAACATATATTAAGTCGAATCTCCTCAATATCATGATGAAGTCGAACATATAATGACTGTAAGTTATGAGTAAAACTCGTATTTACACATTTTTACCTTCAATATAAATAACAAATTTCATTTACTTATCAAATATATCGTCCAATCATAACAAAATTGAAAAATCTCATTAACCGAAATATACAAGAGTATATTTATTCGAATATGTCGGTACGGCGCATTCAACATGCAATAAGGAATCCAATACATATAAAACTGCATATATTGGTAATAAAATGTTTAATACAACTTATTTTTAAATCTAATGTAGATGCCATTAAAAGCTATAAATAAATATTACCAATCGTGGAATTGAATTAATTAACATTTATTTAATTTACAATCCATAAGGATGAAGATTAGTAATTATTAGATTATATTTTTGTTCTTTACAAAAATTACCACTGCAAATCAGGATAACAAACGCATGACAATGTCGTAGTCTTAAAACTTTTCCAACTTGCTAATTTGCCTCTTCATAAACGCGCCATTATACATTCATAATCAAAAATGTTAGAATTGCAGTTGCTCGTGTAATTATTTAATTTATTGTTTTATTATAAGTAATGATCAAATTTTTAAATACATCATCATCGACTATACATAATTCAAATAAATATTCCTCTTATAATCTTGATCGTATTGTGCTTCTTTATCAATGCCAATTAAAACTATGTTCTGTCGCATGCGTAATAAAGTCTAAATACTCATAAACTCCCGTATGAATATTAACTTTTCCTTCAAGAACAGGTATATTTGGTTTTGGAGTTGTCTCTTTATTTACACCGACGATCATGTCGTTGACCATAATAGGTCCACCAAAATCACCCTAAAAATGGGTAAAAATATATAAATATTTTTACTATCTTAAGAAGATAAACTACAATGCTATTCAACATATTCAAAACTTTAAGAATGAGCTTTTAAATAGTGACATTATAATGTTAAACGCTAAAATTACAATATTAGATAAGAGATTTAATCTATTTTCAATAATATATTGCAATAATAAGAAAATACAAAATATTATAAAACGTAATACAGAGTTTGAATTTCAATATATTTTGAAATTTCTCCACTTATTTCTGTAATTACATTTTATATAATAAAATGATTACTTACCTCATGTAATAATAAATAGGGTTGTGCAGCAGTACACAAGTATCTTAAAGGAATAGCAATTGTATATCCCGCTAAACTCTGTATTCTGGATCGACATTCGTTCAATGATAAGACCGTCACAACACCTGCTAACATAAAATTAGGTTTGCGGTTATCATTTGCTTTTCCCCATCCTGCAATTATCGCACTCGTGCCAAACAATCGTCCATTCGGTAAATGAGAAACGCCCGCTGGTGTAATATCTCGATGAACATTACGAGTAAGCTAAAAAAAAATATTTTTATGTATTCGTTGGCATTACACCTACGCGTAAGTATATTCGATGGCCCACAATAACCTCTATCACAAATGAAGTGATTTACATGTATTGAATAAACATTAGCATGATAAAGTGAATTCTATTCAAACGAAAATTTACCTTCGTTATACTAAGATCATTTTCTGGATATGGATTGTAATTTTGAAAGTTTGTGGACCAAGTGTCATAAGTTATCCACCATTGTATAGTGTATACCGTACAGGAAGTTAAGGCTATTGAACCAGCGAGCACAACAGTTTCGTTCTTTAGTCTATTTGCAATGCACGTAGCCGAACTTAATACGTGACTTCGTGAAATAAGTGCAGCAGTACAGATGTGATCACGTATAATTATAGGATAGTTGTTGGTAGTAGAGTGTTTAAATGACACGACATGAGTATATTGTCCATGATTAACTGATATAGCATCATATCCGGCTATGGCTTCCGAGAACGGAATGTTACATTGAAGGTCTAAAATAGAAAAATTTTCTTAAATATAAAATTTATTTAATATAAAAATTTTGGTTTTACGGTATGTACATTGTTGAGTGATACTTACAAAAAATTGTGCATATAAATATAATCAGGGAAAATCTGATTGCCATATCGAAATTACAAAAGGAGGATTTATCTACGAATACATAGAATAATCATATTTAGAAATGATTAATCGAATAGTTTAAAATTATACTAAATCGCGTTATTTGCCATAATTAGTATAATAATATGTATAATATTAATGTCTTTAAATTATTGTTTAAATTAACTTATATAACTATGAATAATTACAGTAAGTACTTTAGCAATTTTCCTTTGAAATTGTAATATTTATTTGAGAAGAAATGTTAACCGCGTCGATCATAGCATTAATATTAATAGAATAATAAAAAATTAATATTAGGAATTCAACACGAATTTTGTATCAATTTCCATAATAATTGAAAAAATCGTGTTATTTACTGAATCTGAATATACATTTCTTACACTATAGTTACTCGTAAATATTTGTCTTTGGAAACAAATTACTAATGTTAAATACTAATTTTTTAATCGATTGTCTATCGTATGAAAAATTTAGAAATTACAGGTACATGGTAAACTATAATTCACCTTATTAATTATTGTCACTAACCAAGAAATTTTTCAAATCATGAACTACTTTTAATGATTTAAATAAAATTTATTTTCCCTTATATGTAATTTTTTTTGTTTTTCAATTACAGAAATTTAATCTAGATGTCAAATCTGTCAGAGATATGAGTATAAAAAAATCTTGAATGTCATTATGAACTCGATTGAAAATGTTGTATTAACTTCAATTTATTTTACAAGTAATAACTGTAGAATATCAAAATGTCAATATATCATTACATCAACGGGTTTTCTATAAATCATTTATACATATCCATTAATAAGTGAATTCCTTTTTCTTTTCTCTTTGTGTACATATATATTTATATATATTACATAAACATTTATTTATTTAACCTCTTTCATTTATGTCTATGTACATTTATATATATATATATATATATATATATATATATATATATATATATATATATTTATTTCTATTTAATTAGCTTAGGATTATCTTTAATAATAGAAGTGACATGTTTGTTTTGATCTTACAAAATTTTATCATCCAGATCGGGAATTCACTACGTTTAAATATTGAGGTGCGAGAAATGTAATATTTAAGATTACGAAAAAATAGATGACATCCAAAGTATAATTTGACTATTAGTTTTTAATGTTTTAAAGTTTTTATACATGTTTACTCAATAGCCTATTTCTTATCTTAATTGCTACATAATGTTTGCGTTTATGAAATGTACGATAAATTGTATAATAGAAATGAATTCTTTCCATTTTGCAATCCAGTTATCTTTATTTAAATTCATATATTTTCACATATTTTTTGTAAGTACTGACAGATACGAAAAATCAACTCTTATTAAGGGATAAATTTGTTTTCCTGTATTTTTTAATACCATTAATAACAATAGAATTGTTTGGTTTGATGAATTTACATAGTTGTACATTTGATATCATGATAGAATGGTTTTATAAAATTTCGAAATTGGGAAAGATATTAGAATATTATTTCACATATCATTCATGAAATTTTGTATTTTGTCAATTCAGTATTTTTAACATAATAATACAATTTTTAATATATTTTTTTTATGTTACAAATTTATTTATATTATAATTAATATTCAACAGTTATCTAGTGTATTCTTGTAAATGTGATTTATACTTATCCATATTATTGTTTTACTAATATTCTTGCCCACTAATCAAGTAACCCAATCAATTTTGTACATATAATTGTAAATAGAGCCTTATTTGTATTTTTTTTTATCATATAAAGCATTTAATATTTGCCTATATCTAGATGAGAATAATTAAATTTTTTTTAATAATTATCTGTAGAGAGATAACGACAAACAAAAGCTTACATACTATCACTGACTTTACTGTAAATATTTTCTGTGCAATTAATTTTCAAGTAATTTAAAAATTGCATTCCTCATGTCTGAGTAAGACTTTCTATACTTCTCCTTCCCAGTGTTAAATAGAATTAATTTATAATAGCCACGTCGATGAATCTAGTAGGCTTACAGGAAATGAAAAATCTACATCTTTATCCACGTATAAATACATGTATGCATTATAAAATATTTATAAACTAATAAGTTACCTTATAAATATCAATATCATTCTCTTATATTGCATTTTGATTTGTCTAAATGTATCCCAGGCATTATAAATGTCCATCCACCATAATTCACTCTGTATTCTACCAATGATTAAATAAATACGTCTCGCCATAAATTGCAATTTTAGTTCTTATTCTAATTAAAATACGTAATACATAAGATAAATGGAAGTTGGCAGGATTTGATTGGTTTATCATTTTATCAACTAGTATAAGCTACAGAAACACTTTACATAATATTAAAAAATATGTGTATGGGAAATGTATGTTGCGAATTGTAGAATATGGATTAAACATATTGCGTAGATACCATGAAATAAGATGTATTGAAATTTTATGTAAAAAAATTAA